GGAGGACGGCGGGACCACCTCCAGAGTGGGACGGGGGAAATGGAATTCCAGGACTACCAGATCAAGGCCAAGTTATGGTTGAGGACAACCCGAACACCACCTACAGCCAGGGGACCTATGCCAACCTATGCACTGAAGGGTTTGGCAGGCGCCCAGGCGTTCATGCTGCGTTGGGATGATGCGGAACGACGTGTCAAGGAAAAGGGGCTCAATCTCCCGGGAGAATATCAAGGCTTTTTCCTAGTGACCGCCTTGCAACTCACCAGTGAGCGAATCAAGCTGCTGCTCAACTACACTCGTGGCTCCCTCCAGGTCTCGGACGTGAAGGCCTGGTTAAGGATCCATGAGCCAATGAGATTGACCTCGACGTTTCCACACTGGGCAATGTCAAAAAGAAGGCCAACAATGAGATCCATGCCATTCTATGAGGTCACTAGGTAGTCCGACTTGATGTGGAAGTAGTGGCTCTTCCTCTTTGGTTTCTTCTGTTCTCAGCTCCGTTTCTTCATGATTTTCCATAGTGACATCCTGTGGGGGTCCTGGGTTGGTTCTCGGATTTGGTTTCCACAACTTCATTAATTGAGCGCGATCTCTTGTGGAGAGTCGCACACGGCGCAAGCGAGGTTGCGAGCGATGTTGGGGACCTTTGAGGATGCTTTGCTGCTCCTCAGCATTCGAAGAAACCGATCTCGTCCTGGGTGTCCAAGTCCCCGGCGCGCTCTTTTGACAAGAGAGGAAGGGATAGTGGATGACTTAAGCGTCATCCTCCAGGTCGATTAGATCTTCAGGTTCTGCCACATCGATGGGGTGACATTCTGCTTGATGTGATACGTCATCTCCCACCAGAGCTCGCACCGCATCTCCCACAACAAGCGAAATCGGGTGGAACTTCTTGGCAAGCTGCTCGCCAACATCAATGATGTGGGACGCCTGAACGGAGTGAAGTTCCGAAGCATTCAGGCCAATACTTGCAGCATAGATGGTGAGGATGCAGTTAAAGGTGGATTCCGTTGCGCCAATTGCGACCGGCTCACCATGTTGCCAAGAACCCGACTATTATATGTTCACGTACGTGATCTCCATGGCACGTCCGGTTGAGAGCGGAAGCAATCTCCGGATGGTTGGTGAGGAAGCCTGAACGTTTCCGCGTGGGGTTGCCCTGACTGCTGATAAGTCCAAATTGACATTGATCCACTCGTCTAGCTAGCCAAGTAGCTATCACGCCGTTGCACCAAAGTTCTTTGGCGCGGCTCACTCCATGAGCTGGCTCCCCAGGGATGTTCAAACATGTCGCGCAACTGACGAAATTCCACGCAGAAACTGAGGAGGTTGCGAGCGCGGCGCAATTCCTTCAAATGAGCATCAAACATTTCTGCACTGGCATGTCTGGTCCGGATTGAAAGATGTTGTATAGCGTGCTGGACGGAGTACAAGGAGGAGACAACAATGTGAGCCCTGGCCGTTCAGATCTGATGTGTTCGAAAACATGTTGTTCAACAGATCCCAGGCCAATACGATACCAAAGATCTGTCCACGACAAGGGCCAAAATGGTCGAATTGTTTATTGACCCACCATGCTGTGTCTCAACCCGGAAGTCAGGCTACGCTCGCTCACCGCTACCCAGGTCGTCGCTCCTTGCTCCCCGTTTGATGGTACTTGTAGGTCTGCCAAGCCCTGAAGTCCTCTGGGTTGATCATCTCGACGGGATCCGCTCGCTGGAACCGGCGGGCTCCACGAAGTGCAGTGGGCCGGGCCACTCCCTCACGATGGTTTTTCCAGGAAATCCTAGTAGTTCCGCCGGTGAAGGACTGGCCGACGCTGCCGAGTGTGTGTAGCTCCGGGATGGCGTTGCGTTGGTGAGTTCTGCTCCTTGAACTTCTGGTGGACTTTTGCCGCGTCGGTGGTCTCGTCGATCAGGACCTTGCCGCGCTCCTTGCAGGTCTAATTCACCAGAATCCAGCGCTGCCCTGTCGGGGCGTCCTCTTGTGTGGACACTGAGACTGGAACAGGGCTCGGAGCCGGATCGTCTCGAAGATTCTCTGGCGCCCTGGACGGAAGGCACCATCGCGGTCGGCTCCAAAACCTCGTTCTTCCCGGCCTTGATGGCACCCTGAAACGATCGGGTGCGAGAACATGGTCAGGGGGACTTCTTTCGCTTCACTCTCAGTGATCTCCGTGGCCGCCGGACCCTCAGCCTTGCCATCAGACATCTCCGCCAAGGTTGGTGAGCAACATCTCCTGTACTAGCTGAGGTTGATAGGACAGCCAGATGGTGTTAGGTTGGTCGATCATGATGATTCGTGCTGGTCAATGCCAATAGCATGGCTTGACTTTGAGATTCTTGTCTGCGCCCATCCGGAAGAAGTAGACAGTCTCGCCGATGTCATAGTCGAGGATGGGACGTGGACCGGTGGCGATCCTCGAGGTCCGGGGCGTTCTTATCGTCCTTGAAAGGTCTCGCTTCCGATGGATTGACCTCCGACTACACCCCTTCAATGGCGCCTACAAGACGGCTGATTTAAGAGGAGATGGTGAGTAGCGAACCCACTGAGGACGGGTGGGAGGCCATCCCACCACTCTCAAAAGATCACGACTGGAGCTTCTTGAACTAGCGCAGCGACCAGGAAAGAATCAAGAGTGCTCCTTGAAATTCCCTGAAAGATTTCAAGGGAAAGGACTCCATCGAGGGCATCGTCGCGCTGGCTACTGATGACCTACTTCACGGAGGATCTGAACGGCGCCTGGAACGCAGTATACATGGGGGCATGGCTGTTTCGCGGGCAAGGGCTTCACCTCTCCCCGATGGCTCCATTTGGATCGATCAGGAGTTCTACGTGACCTCCAGAGTTCAGGAGAGCAACATCACCAAGGTGCAGTCTGTTGGAAGTGGAACAGCTCCGTGCTCTTCTTGGAACGTTCGCATGGGTGGCAAAGGAGGCAAGAGCAGACCTATAGCCGGCAAGATCGCCTTTGGCAGGCTTTCCCTCGATGTCTGACACGAGATTGCAAGAAAAGCCCTGCCAAAGCTAGGAATCAGAGTGATGCCCATTGCCCAGAGCTCCGGGCCAGTGTGGTCACCAATAAACGCCAGAGAATGGAAGATTCGACGCCGATTGATGCCTAAAGCTCGGATCACCAGTTTTCATCCAGCGTGTCCACTAGAAGGACCAGATCTTCATGACCTACCACCTGACCGCCGGACTGAGATACAGATCAATGGCGCCAAGATGAGTGGACATCGTCATCGAGTATTACTTCCCTGGCAACTTCAACATGGACGGGGAGAACGATCTTCAAGAAACAACAACCGGGACAATGTCTAGACGCGAAGTCGACCCATGGGGTTTTGAGCAACTTATGAAGCTGTACAGTCAAGGGGGAGAGATCAATTTTTCTATGACAAGGAGCTCCCGGAGTCCCAGTGCCTTCGGGATGTGAACATCCTCAGCTCGGAGACACAAGCCTTAGTTCGTGGCCTGGGGTCAGTTCATTGGTACCGAGTGCTCATCCTTGAGGCCAGAGGCCTATCTCAGAATCTCTTCAGCCCGTCAATGGAAAGCCGATCCAAATTTATCTGTGTGACCGTTTCTTTCGATTCCGATACCATCAACAAAGACACCAACCCAGCCTCACAGTGTAAAGACAGACGCACCTCTATCGACGTCTCCCTGATCAAACAGGAGGTGCGCGAGATGAATGGAGGGGTCCGATGGATCGATGGAAGGACCATGTTGGCGGACTCCCTCACGAAGGACACCAAGGGAGACTTCCTTCGAGAGGTCATGGTTTCGGGCAAATGGAGCATCCTCGAAGAGGGGGTGGCATTTCAGAGAAAACCGCGCCGAACGGGCATAAACTGTTGTCGGTGCATTTCCGTTGAGCATCTTGGTCAACAGGGCCCGCCATGAGATCTTGGCTCAAGCCTGACACGCCATGTCCAAAAAAAGTGGAAACTTTATATGGTCTGCAGGCTGGCTGCTGGGTGCCCCGGCAGTGTTGTGAGTGATGGTGTGAAAAACGTGATAATGATTTTGTCATGCGAGATGATGCGAGATGTGTGGCAACCAACAAGTCCAACGATGGGCAATCGTGTTGTGTTGTTTCTTTTTTGTTATTGGGCTTAATCGCATGGTCTTTTTTTGTTTGGCATTTTTGATGTTGAGGTTGAGCAGAAGTATCGACACCTCGGGGGGCCCCCAGCGGGCCGAAAGTTCTTTATTTATCCGATTCGCTCCGCAGGTGAAGACTTGAGAATAACTACGTGGTCTGAGACGCCTGATGAGCACATGCAAACAAACTTTGATTTGGAATTGAGTGCCAACAAACTTGCAGAGGAGTATGACTCAGATGTTTTCGACTCAATGAACTCAGAGTCCCACCCAGAGTCGGAACCAGAATCGGAGGCAGAGTCGGACTGGGAAGAGTATTAACTTGGACGTCTGATGGATGCAGGGCATACAAAAGTCTCCTTCAAGCAATCAAGCAGGTCTTCTTTCCAGAGCTTCTGTGAAGAAAAATCGCCCACCTCCTGAAAGCACAATGTTACCAACTCCTCCACTCCATGTTATGGAATTATGATATTTGTTTGCAAGAGGGACGCGCTCCACACCCAGTTGCAGTTTGCCTTGTGAAGCGAACGACGGCCCTCAAAGGCCTCAATGCTCATCATATGCAATCGATGTTTCTTTCTTTTGCAGGCAAGGTGTGCCTCGCAGTGGTGCATACCATGGCTCCAGGATGGAAGATAATCATACGCGTCAGCCGGCATCACTTCTCACCTTGACATGCAAGACGCGCCAGTGGTGTGTGTTAGCATGATTGACTAGAGTGACTAGAGCAATACACTCATTTTTGGCTCCCAGAACCACATATATGTGAACCTCCCTGGCTATGTGTTTGGACTATATTTAGCTGGTTTCTCCATATGATCTGCCAAGAAGCGATCCACCTCGACTTCTGGCATAGTCGACGCTTTTCTTTCTGCTAGCTGTGGCAAGCCATGGGCAAGCCCAGTGCTGGCAAAGGCAAGTATGGCAAAAGCAAAGCCAGCCCAAGCAACTCGGCTGCCTGTTTGCGTTCCTGACTGCTACATCAAGGGCAGCTACTCTTGCATAACTTTGGCTTATGTTCAGCATGCACTAACTACTCTTCGTGAGGCAGGGGCAAGGGGAAGACTTTCAGACGAGAGGACCGGACTTTGTTGAGCATGCGCTGCAGTTTTCCATTTGCATACGCACACGTGGTTTTGCTCCACTTTCACCCTGACACAAGTGGCCCGGCAGCTGTTTTCAGGAGGGTAGGTCCTACCCGGATGAGAGTGCCAGGTCTGATGCTTCGCAGCACTCACTGCTCGGGGTCGCTTCGCAAAGGAACTGCCCACACCATCCACACCAGTTTTTTCCCACCAAGCACTCATTCAGATATGTCACTGGAACTGCTGAAGGCCAAGACCAAAAGAGTTTTGATTGGATACAGGCGGCTTGTGGTAGCCACATGCGTGTCCATCCATCCATTGCAGACATCATGGCATCCAACCATGTCCCGAACCCAGAGCCAGAGAGCAAAAGCTCACCATGAAAAAGACCTGCCTCCAGCCATCCACCAATTCATGAAAAATACATCCACAAGTGCATACAGCAGGAAGATTGGACAGTATCTAAACAATTTTGCCAATACACCATTCAGTCAACAATATATCACAACACACTGCCGCAAATGACCCTAATTGGAACTCCGAAAGGACACCAATGCTGCAAGAGACGCTATTTCATTCATCATATGTCTCACATCATCAACTACCAGAAATCACAGAGTTGTTTGCGGACAATATTTTTTCTCGCATCTGGGAGGTTCCCAATCGCAAAGAGGGATTGGAATTTGGCAAGTTCCCACTTTGCACTGGTACAGTGTTTGAGCAAGTTTTAGCATCTGCGGGTTCCAAGGAGTCGCTCAAGGCGAGACTGATCAACAAACAGCGGGAAGGAGGCTGTGGTGAAACTTTGATCCAGTTGTGTACCTTGATGGAGGGGTGTTCTCGGAGAAACCTTGCTTCGCCTTTAGACGTGTTTTGTGCTTTTAAGGTTGCCGGCCGTGTGCTTTTCTGCTGTTCCGTTAAGTCTGTAGAGTTGAAACAAGTGCAATTGCAAGCCCAAGGGTAACAACCCTCAAAAAGGGGCCGTTTGCAAGAAGATGTTCACGTATGATAAGATTGCCCTCACTTTTGACGCGCTGGTGTTCATGAGGTGAGGATGCTAAAAAGTCTTTGCCGCCTGAGCCGGAGCTAGTGACTTGGAGAAAGGTTGACAAACGGGCCAGCTTACTTTCTCGCTTTTCACGCAATTTGCTGGCAAGACGGCCACAGTGCTGCTGGGCCTCTGCGATTCTCGAAACGCGCAGCGCTCTTGCTTCAACACAACATGGTTATCGTCGGATGTTGATGGTGTGCTAAGGATGACAAAGCCACGCAGTTGAGGGAAAAACTGATGCTCCTTCTCCAGCATAGTGTGTGCATGGAGAATCGCACTGACATGATCAATGGTCGGGCTGTGGCGAGAGCAGAGCGATTAGAGTTGAGGAAGCTTCCAAACCCTTCAGGACACTGCCTGCTGGTAGAGAAGTTTCCATTGTCTTGGTGCAAATGAGGCTGAAGAAGCGCAAGTTGACGGCTCATGGAGACAAAGAGGCCGGAAACACCCGAAATCCCATCAGCACGTAAAGGATATGGAAGGCACACCGTTTGATGAGCCTGATGACCTGATGAGCGTAACTTATGTGTGGCATGATGGGGCACGAACCCCAGCTTTGGAGTCCAGGCTATAGCTCTCATAGGGGCTAGGGCCTCGTGCATACACGTCGATTGGTCATTTTGTGCCTGTCCATTTTGACGAAGCCACCCAAGGATACCCAAGGTGGGTCTTGAAAGACGTGGTTGTGGGAAGCTGTCGGTGTTGAAAGGTAAATGGAAAGTGTCTTGAAAGGGGTTTGTAGTGGTCTTGAAAGAAGCGGGTCTCGAGAGAGGGCTGGGCTTGGAAAGGTGGCCTTGCAGGAGGCTTTTGAAAGAGCTGGGTTTGAGGCGGCCTTGGAAAGATTTGGAAAGGGGTCTTTAAAAGGAATGTGGGCAGTGGCCTTACGCGGCCGTTGCCACCCATGCCACTGCGCGCGCGCGCTCGCGCGCGTGGGTGTGCGTGTGTAAGCCTTGGAGTCACAGGGATCCTTTTGGATTGTTTTTCGCCTTTCTATGCCTTTGTTGTTTTTCAGCAGAGGGACCATCCATGTACTGTGCGCGATGGTCCAACGAAGTGGCCACAGTACATGCGGATATCACGGTTGATCGGTTGATCACCGTGACGTACCTGCTCCATTTGTGAATGTTGGCAGCTACATCCCACTCTACTTTCAGGCTGTTTAGGTGGAGGTAGGTCGGCAGACTCTGCACGGCATCGTCGTCCCTGTCGGTTCCTCGGCCGTCAACCTTGAACCTTGATGGAACTTTCGTGACTTGAGTTTTGGAGTTGAGCTTGTGACTTTCGTAACTCTGAACCCTGGTTCCTTAGGTTTTTCACTTAGGCCGGCGTGTGGCAAACCGCAACCAAAACAGCACGCATATATAATCGCAAGTGTGTCTGGCTTCATGCCAGCCGAGGGTGAGCCCGCAGAGTGCCCTGTTTCTGAGGTTTTACCTGGTAATTTTACCGTTGGTTCCACTAGAAGGCTGGGTGCTAGGTGCTACTAGTAGTTTCTGGCCTTACTACTAGGACCAAAAGAAGCAGGGGGGCCACAGACCTGCCACTGCTGCTGTGGCCAGCGAAGACCGGCAGTGGTAGGTGTGAAAACGTACCTGCAAAACTGTTTAAAACTGTTTAAAGCGGCTAGTGCATAGGCGGTCTGCTAGGTATTCAGTAAAACGGCTAATGCATAGGCGGTCTGCTAGGTATTCAGTAAAGCGGCTAATGCATAGGCGGTCTGCTAGGTATTCAGTAAAGCGGCTATTGCATAGGCGGTCTGCTAGGTATTCAGTAAATCGGCTGATGCATAGGAGTTGAACCTTTTGTTAAAACACCTTCAAATGCTTGGACCTATCGCCTTTCCGTTCTTTCGCCTTTCTTCCACTTGGGAACTGACTTAACTGAAAACCAATGTCAGAGTGTGACTCGCTCAGTCGTCCCACTTGGGTGCTGGGTGTGATCCTCCGCAAGGAGGCGCCGTTTCCACTTCGGAATTCGTGTAACAGACTCCACCGTTTCCACCGTTCGTTGGATTCTCTGACTTTGTTTCACTACTGGATCAACTGCCACCAAGCCGCCGGGCTTCACGGAAATTCCAAGTTTCATGGCATGGCGATGCGTTGGAACAGGAGACTCGAATAGGAGACCCTTCAACAAGTTTCCACGGTGAACGGTGAGACGCGACACCCCGGACTACCCCCTGGCCTCCGTTGCTATCCCACCCGCTATTCGGGCAACAGAAGGAAATCGCGCTCAACACACTTGTGTGTTGGTGCCTTTCCTTCTGTTTCTCCTATCTATTGCTAGCTACCCGAGCGGTCTAAGACAAAGGTCCCGCTCGCGAGCTACTTTCATTTAACTAAGTGGGCCTCGTAACTACACCTATCTTTCTTTCTTGCCCTCTTAGTCTGCTTTTGTTTTGCTTTCTTAGTTTGTCTTCTAAGGCTTTTGAGGTGGCTAGTAATTTTTCCGCCGCGCCAGAACTGGCGCTATATGTACAAAGTTGCTGTACACAGAGCGCCGATAGCGGCACTATGTGTGTTAACGCCTGTTTCTAAGGTTTTACCTGGTAATTTTACCGTTGGTTCCACTAGAAGGCTGGGTGCTAGGTGCTACTAGTAGTTTCTGGCCTCACTACTAGGACCAAAAGAAGCAGGGGCCACAGACCTGCCACTGCTGCTGCGGCCAACGAAGACCGGCAGTGGTAGTTGTGAAAACGTACCTGCAAAATTGTTTAAAACTGTTTAAAGCGGCTAGTGCATAGGCGGTCTGCTAGGTATTCAGTAAAACGGCTAATGCGTAGGCGGTCTGCTAGGTATTCAGTAAAGCGGCTAATGCATAGGCGGTCTGCTAGGTATTCAGTAAAGCGGCTAATGCATAGGAGTTGAACCTTTTGTTAAAACACCTTCAAATGCTTGGACCTATCGCCTTTCCGTTCTTTCGCCTTTCTTCCACTTGGGAACTGAGTTAACTGAAAACCAATGTCAGAGTGTGTGTGCGCGTAACCTTTGGTTTCACAAGGTGCCTCTTGGCTTTTTTAAAGAATCGTTACGTTGCTCAGCTCCTCGACCTTTAAGTGCGGGGCGGCCATCCAAAAAGCGGCCACAGTACATGTGGATATCACAGCTCATCACCGTGCTGTAACTGCTCGATTTTGTGAATGTTGATAGATACGTCCCTCTCTAGAGTGTTGCAACCGGTTGTTTCCAGGTTTGGTGAGAGTAAAGGGCTAACGCTTTTCGTGATATTGAAATTTTGGAACGTCATGGAACTCGATCTTCTGGTGTTGCAAACTTCACCATGGTTGGGCACCTTGTGCACTTAGGTTTTCTGTATACCGAGGAGGTTGCGCAGTCAGGTTGTATGAACTTTTATCCCGAATGAATGTGTGTGTAACCCTTGGAATCACAGGGATCCTTTTGGATTAGATTTTCAACTTATTGAGCAGGGGGCGACAGAGTCGGTGCATGGCTGTCGCCAACGAAGCTCCACGCAGTTGACTGGGAGATCACGGATGATCACCGTGACGTACCTGCTTTGGTGTGATGTTTCCAAGCTGTTACTCCAATCTTCCGTAAAGGTCTAATGCAATCTGCAGATGTGAGCGTCCGTCGTCATGTTGATCGATCCGGGATCGTTGGTTTTGACTTGAGCTTTAGGCCTCCTTTCCGTTTGAACACCGCAGGTCCCTTTGAGATTTACCTGAACTGTTCAGGATTTGGGAACCCAGGTTGACGTGTGGCAACCGCTTTCAAATCAATATGCATTTCTAAAAGTGTGTGTGCGCGTGTGCCCGTGCGTGCGATCGCGCGTGTGCGGGCAAATCTGTGTGTTTGGTGGCAGGAATCCGTGAGCAGATGAGTCAAGCATCATCAAATTGAGTGCGTGCGCAGATGAACCAGAGTGCACGCGCAAGAGGCCCTTTCCCGCATAGGTGAATGGCATGGCAGCAACGCGGCCAGTGCGCACGTCATCTTTCTGTGAGGTAGAGACAGCCAAGTTCGCCACAGCTGGCGCTGCTGCAAGGGGCGCGGCAGCACTGGCCAGTACAGGACCGGAGTGCCAGCGCTTTGAGTGAAAGGCATGTTAGCCTTTCAGTGCCTTTCAGTAAACTGGCTGTGGTGTCCGGCAGATTGACCGCTTCGACGGCGCGCAAGGCGCAGCCAGCACAACACGCATCGTGCCCAGATTATGAGCCTGCTGCGTTTCGAGAGAAGAGATGTTGGTCCGGTACGGGGGCTGCTCTTGCTCAACCAGCGTTGGTCACACTGGCAATTCGGGGCTTGCGTTTCTGTCTTATCACTGCCAAGGCAGAGTAGAGATGAAGGCGCTTGCTGGAGTTGAGTTCCGGAGTAGTTGGACAGTTTTTGAAATGTTTCTGAGATCACATTCTTGCATTGCGAGCGCTTCAATCCTGGCAGGTCACTGCTAGCCCCTCCAGCCCTCCAAGTGTTACTGTGGAGGATCGGGAGGGCGCTGAGATGCTACTATGTTGATGAAACCGCCCCTAATTCGATTCAACAAGTGCGGGTCGCTTGTTTCAAGATTTGTGGAGAGTGACAGACTACAAGTGGGTGCACCAATTCGAAGAGGCCCTACGCAAAGCCTTATTGTATAATCTGCATACAAAATCGCGTTGTTGTTGTTGTTGTTGCGGTGGTGGTGGTGGTAGTGGTGGTGGTGGTGGTGGTCCCAGACAGCGTGAACTATTGGGATTCTTACTTCAAGTATGAGGAAGAACTGCGTGTGTGCGTTTTCGAGCTTGGGTAGGGTGCCGTTGCTGTGTTCGCTTGGGAGCTTGGGTGCTGGTGCCGCTGCAGGGTGCCACTGCTATGCGACGCTGCTGTGTGCGCTTGGGAGCGTAGTGCTGGCGCCCTCGCAGGGTGGCGCTGCCGTGTGTGCTTGGGTGCTGGTGCCGATGTAGGGTGTGTGCGCTTGGGATGTGTGGCTGTGAGCTTTGATGTTTGGGTGCTGGTGCCGCCATAGGGTGCCGCTGCCAGATGTGTGGCCGTTTGCTTTGGAGCTTGGGTGCTGGTGGGTGCCGCTGCCGGATGTGTCTCTGTCGTGTGCGCGCTGGAGGGCACTGCGGGTGCCGCTGCAGTGCGCTGCCCACAAAAGTCCCTTTTCTATTTGGGCTTTGAGCTGGCGTAAAGTTGTCACAAGTGCAATTATTGGCACTTGTTTCACTCAAGCACCTTTGCAATACGTGGTCAAAGTGACATTGTGCAATTTGTCTCGTCAGTTTTCTGCCTTTTGCGGCGCGGCGTGGGCATCCATCAAACCATGTTAGACTTTCAGACGCTTATCGATGCCGCTCAGTTGGCATGTAGGCTGACCAAGTGGCAAGGCCAACTGAACAGCCCAAGGCACCACTTGTGCACTGCACTCGCTGTTTTCAACCAGTATGCGCAATCAGACGGGTGTTTTTCTGTTTATTCTGTACTCTCCATGATTGCCAGCCTGAGGTAGCATCAGCACCAGCAGCCGAGCAATCAAAGGTTGGGCCGAAGCAGATTTTCCAGAACTTATATAGCTGAACAAGAGGAGGAGCATCAAGATGTGAACATGCTGAAAATACAGATGTGTGCTATAGCTGGAACATTGACAATCAATGCTCCGTCACTATATAGTCTTAGTCATCACGGAGTGCTGGTAAAGGAAAGTGGTTCTGACCTGGAGCAAACTTGTTTCTGAGTTAGTTGGACCTGTCCCTAGCTCTGGCCTGGATACACAATGCGCATACTTGATATCCCTGCTGTGCAGCAAAACCACTTTTGGCCCAGGTCGTAGCAGCCCCTCCAGCAGTTGTTTCCGCCGCAGCTCCACAGACAGAGCCTCCACAGGTGCAAACTTGTAGCCATGGCGTGAAGGACTATATAACTATTCGATACTATTCGCAGGGTCAGCTGACCAGGGCGGGATGTAAAGCTCTTGATGGGCTCAGGCCCAGGGCCAGGGATCTCTGCACGCATATTCATATGTACACGGTCCGGCCAGCTGATCACAGACACAGCTTGGATTTCAAGTGATGTGTGTTTTGGGGCGGTTCTGGTTGCGACCGTTTTTGCCAGCCGTGATTTCTTGACGGGCCCTTGAAACTTCTGCAGGCCCCGAGCCAACCTCGTGGCAAGCCTGCAAAGGACGCCCACCCCCCAAAAACAACCTAGCACTTTGTTGTTTAATTTGTTATAGATCTCCTTGAAAACAAGAAGGCAGAACAATTTTTGGATCCTTTCATTCCGGGTTCAACATGCTTGGTTTGTTTTTTGAACAGCTGATTGATTTGGAGGACGCACCAGCCGGTGCCGTAACAGCTGCAGCTGGGAAGGCGGTGGCATCCCAAAGTCAAGCGGGTTGCCAAGTTGCTTGCCCCATGGAAACCCAAAAGAGTTTACGGCATCATCATCCAAGGATTTTGAGTTGCTGGAATATCACATCAATGTCAATAGCGTTGGAGCAAATTAACATTTGGGTTGGGACTGTCTCAATTTTTCTTGTCGGAAGGCTTTCGTAGCTGCGCCCAAGCTGGCAGAATTTGAGGCTGCCACCGGCCACCCTCAAGTGATTCTACTGGTACTGTATCTCCTACATACTTGCTGTTTGTGCCAGCCATAGACCTGTGATAGAAAGGTGGCTTATACTTACTGCTATGACAGACAGTTGCAGAAACAGCTGCCTTGGAGCACTTTTTCGATTGTGTTCATACTTCCGGTGTGCATCCATATTCCATAGGCTTCAGTGAAGTTCATGGCATCAGTTCCTCTACAGTAGCATGGGCCATTCGTGTTTGCAGAGACCATGTATTCTTCTTTTTTGGAGATTTTGGTCGTTTGGTTTGGTCTTGCTTTGAGACGCCAGGTTCCAAAGCAGAAACCTGGCACCTTGGCACATACAGTGCACGTGGAATGCAAATTGAACCAAGCGTTGACGTCGAAGTTTTTCATGTCTGAGGGTGCCCATAGCTACCCACAGTATATAGTGGGAGCAAGATGGAGCAAGGCATAGATGAGCCTTTGCTCTATTTTGTCAAGTCAGAGGTTGCAAAGCAAAACGGAACCTTCGGAAACCACGTGGCAACTGTGAATCTAAGGACATCCTGTGCCCGCATCGCCTGGCAAACCACTGCCAGGTTTGGACCCCAGACTTGAAGTGAGTGGTTGGACGCCGGATAACCTGCGTGGCCTGAGGAAGTGGCACTGGCGAATCTTGAATGTGAGTGCATTGGCCCTTGGCCCTTGCCAAGGAAAGCC